TTCCTTGAACGAAACCTTGCTTCCTTCCCGTGATCCTTGAAACTCGATGCCCTCGGAGAGTATTCTGAATTTTTGATAGTCTGCGCTTCAAACTGCACATCTTCAGCTCATCAAAAAGTTGCTCCTCTTCTTGAAACCTTGACGCTAGATTCTATCAGTAATTAAGATTCCACTCTGTCATCTGCATTTCACATTTCTTACATTCCTATCATTCTTATCGAGTTTACGAAGTTCTCTTAAGAAATTATTTCGTTCAAGCTTCAGAAATGGATTTCATTCTGTAACGGGAAGAAGGGTCAGAGAAGACCCGAGTGGAAGTCAGAATTTTGAGTTGGGTTACATTTTCCGTTATCGAGCTCCATGCTTGTAACTCCTCGTTCCGAATGCGCGGCGGCTCCGAGGGATTTCGTCGGAAGCGAGGGCAACGCGCATCCATCTTGAGGATGCTCGAGATTGAACTGCTTCCGTTTGTGTTTCCAGTGAGCGGGTTCGTCGTAACGTTTCGGCGGAACGTTGCGAGTCGCACCTTCGCTCGTGGAAAGCGATGGAATAATGCAGCGAATGTTGTTAACTGACGCGCGCCGCCATTTCCGGTCCGATGCGCGATCCCGCTGCTTCTTGCCTCCGTGAGCAACTGCGGTGAACAATTATTTAATCGTTCCGGAAACGCAATCTGAATATCCGACGAGAAAATACTGCAGGGCCGTGCACGGCGCGACTAACAAGATAATGTAACATTATGCTTGATTATTACAGCGAACACTGGATGATTGCAACGTATGGGTCTCGATGAGTGTAGCAATTATCCAGTGTATTTATTTATTATTCGTTGCTATTCATTATTATTCATTGGATTATAGTCCTCGCAAAACGACTGATAATCACTACTTACATTGCGTACTGGTAACGAGAAATCTCGTTTTTATATGAAGACACTTAGCTATGCAACTTTGCTAATTACCATAGTATTAAAGAAAATATAAAATTTGATTCGAATTGATTGTCTATTTAAAACATATTACATAACAATATATCTGAGTTTTTCTTGAAAATTGCCATCACAATTTAGTTTTCTGAAAATTAGCTATCATTCTATTATTTCAAGTCACGATTAAATAACATTTCTTCCATCGTAAATCATTCGTTCGAAGTGAATCTAGGCTCCAGGTACCATTAATCCTTTGCAGTCCATTGATTCCATTAGAGAACTAGTAGACAGACCCAATTTATAAATCGAAATAAGTCAATTCGAATAAATGAAAAGAACACAATTGTAACGAATTCATTTATTTGCTTATGAAAAATTATATTTTGAAATTAATCAACGTATAGTATCTCAAAACAATTTCCTACGTGAATTGCAACTGCAAGAACGTCAATGGAATGTCTCCAGCGATATTAGACAGTTTACCGCAAAGGGTTAACAAAGGCGCCGAGCGTGCAAATGAACGTCTAAGATTAATCTGGATCTAATTAGGTATGCACGGGGCGGCGTCTTCGCCCCGAAGGAATGCAAACATCCTCCGAGTAAAAGTATAGCGATGTACCTCCGGGACTGATCCCTCCCCGTAAATCTTCGTCCCGAGAAGAGCCGACAAAAGCAGCCCCGTTATGAAGAGAACCAGCGGCTCAGAAGTTTAAACATAAAAATATCGTGAAGTCGGGTAGTCCGCTCAGTCTTCTCTTCGACGGAAGGATTCCGGGGCATTTTTATAGATGACAAAGAGAGTGCAGCTCGAAAGTTTATCCTTTTCGCTGGCGAGTTCCTTCATACACCGTTCCTTCGACGCGGAAACCTCCGCGAAAAAAAGGATCCCGGAGGATTTGGCTCTTCGCTCGGCATCCTCGCTCGCTGGCGTAAGTTTCCCGGCCGAGTATTGGATATTAGTTCCGCGTCTGTTTCAAAGATTCAGCTGAACTGGGGAAATCGGGCCGAGTATCGGGACGCAGGTGTGGCTGACTATTCATTTGTGACTTTGTCTCTGCACGGTTTCGAGCTGTTTCCGTATTACTGCTCGGATAAACGGGGAGTTTTGATTGTCGGGTCGAACTACTGCTTCAACTTCATGATTTGGAGATCTTTTGCTAGCCTTTTGAGCTCTGAAGCTTTTCGATGGAAATACTTCGCGTTTTCTAACATAAATTAATAGCAATATAATTCTATCATTTCTAATATAAATGAATAATAACACAACTAAATTTTCTAGCATAAATTACTACTATAATTCTATAATTTCTAATATAAATAATATCATAATTCTCCATCTTCTAACATAACTTAATACTAATGCAATTCTATAATTCCTAATATAAATTAATAATAACACAACTAAATTTTCTAACATAAATTACTACCATAATTCTATAATTTCCATAATTTTACAACTCTGAACTTCCAGTTCTCGGTATTTCCCGATATTCTACAGAACGATAGAACAAACTACATCAAATGTCCGTAAATCTAACGTTAATACCGAAAGCATTTCATTCACGGGTCGCCGATTAATTAAAATGTCCTCCTCGTTCAGCGATTCCCTAACTCGCACCCGTCAATTTCACGCTCGAAGAGACTCCGCATCAATTTTTCCCGACGTAAGGACTCGTCGCTCGCCGATGGCCGCGATCCGTCTCTTTCTCGTCGTCTTGACGCGGCGGTCTTTTTAATTAAAAGTTTCGGAACGGTCGCGCCACGGGCGAATTCTAAATTGGAAGCATTCCGTCGGCGAAACGGATTAATCCTTTGCCGAACACGTCGCGCGAAACTGCCCGCCGGGCACGTAGCGTTTCTTCCGTGTCCCACTGTCCCCGAATTTTTATTTGCTTTCCGGAAAGTCAACGCTATGGGATCACGGACGGACCGCGCGACGAAATATTTTCGAAAATATCGGCCACCGGAGGAACCGGTTATTTCGATTTTCGAACGAACACGCGAGGGCGCAGCGGAAATCATTGATCTGCTATCGAAACGTTGTGTTTTTGTAAATTATATTATTATATCTTTTGCTAGCTTTTTGAGCTGTGAAGCTTTTCGATAGAAATACTTCGCATTTTCTAACATAAATTAATACTAATGCAATTCTATAATTTCTAATATAAATGAATAATAACACAACTCTAAATTTATATATTCCTTTGTCTTTTTCGTGAAACTTGGACAGATGATTTCGCGATTCGAAACAGCAATGTCAATGTTATTTGAATTGAAAAGTGAGAAATACTCGTTCGAACTAAAGGTTTATTGTCAATATACAACGCATCTCTATACAAACTATTGACAAAAGATAGTTTCTATATCGCATATAAAACCATTACAACAGTCTCTATCTCCAAACCTCACAAACATGAATAAAAGAAATATTAGAATAATAATATAATATTATATAGAATATTATATTAATTTTGTATTAGAAATTATAGAATTGTATTAGTATTAGATCACATTATTCGTTGATATTAAAAGTCACAATTAGAAGAAAGTAAGAAAGTATAAATCAGAAGTTTGAAGGTAGACAATGGGACAATCAACCAAAATGTTAATAAAATTCAATACGCGTCCAATTGTCTCGTTCCGTAAATCTAGCGTTAAGATCTCTCTTCTCCGAAACGATCCTGCCGTTGCTAATTTCAGAGCGAGCCGCGGCAGCCATATCGGCTTTTTAATTAAACGGACTTCCGTGTCGGGAGAGGAAACGAATTTTTTCCGATAACCGCACGGCAGCCCTGTAAATGCAAAATAAAACACGGAAGCCCGAGGCGTACGCCCGCAACCGTTCGGTACACAGGCTTTCCGCGGAATATATGGAAGAAGCGGGCCGTTCTTAACCACCTGATTATAAAATCCGCGTGTAGCCCGGAATTTCGAGTGGAACAATAGCGACGCTGCCGGTTTTAAATGAAAAATCTGCTACTTTGAGCGGAGAGGACTCGGTTGCCTTTTAGCGAGTATGCGGGAAAGACTATATCCGAAATAAAAAATAACTTCCATGTTTTTATTTCATGAAACAGCGAAAATCCAAAATGGAGCACGTACTTCCGCGCTTCTGTTCTATGACATCTTCGAAAAACACAACATAGTGACGATACTTCTAGTTTGTATACTCGTTTAAATCCGAAATGAAACACAAATATCTTTCTACTTTACAGCTTCCTCTAAATCTAGAACAAAATGCGGCGGTGTTTGTTTTACAAAATCCTCCGAGCCGAACGCGAAGCGCAGAGATCTACGGCTCTACTTTATCAAACCCTCTACGCCAAAATGCAAACACCTACTATTTTGAGTATTTCACTACGTTACAGTTCTATAGTTTTGATTGGTTGTATATTCAACTGCATTGTCGAACAGTAGACCCTTAACCCTTCGCACCCCAGAAATTTTTCATTCTTTCAAACTGACTTAACGAGAAATCGCACATAAATTAAAGAAAGAGGCTGTTTTATTTCAATATTTCACATGTCAATGCATTGTACAAAGTTTAATATTAAATGTCAAACTCTATAATTTTGCTGTGTCAAATAAATTGGCGACTAAGAGGCCAAAGGGTTAAATAATCAGTCAACCAAGAACCTTTTCAACCAGCACACGCATGTCGACGAAACTTACTCGTCTACCCCTAATTCCATATTTATAAAAAAACAAACTAGCAACCCTCAACTGTAATAAATTTCAACTCATACTCGTCCATTCCCTTGACAACTATTCTACGTAAGTTTCATCAAAATCCCTCATCATCAGAGTCCTCAGAGCAATCAAGCTTTTTATCACAATTGCCCTCGATCCCTCTAAACCGAGAGCAAAGCGCAGAGGTCCAGCCTCGATCTCCGAACCGAAAAGAACCAAAAAATCACGAAACCGCCGGAGTCCCCTCGAAGCAGATCAGCTACCAGAGAATAAATCTCCCGAGCAATCGAGATCCACCTGTAGCGAGCCTCATCCCCGTCCGCCATATCTTATTAGTATTTCCCGCGACAGAGGCTGATCGAACGTAAACAATCTTTTCCAGGTCCCGTCCCAGAGGGGAAGTCCAGGTTCCCAGCGAACTTCCCGGCGCGCCGTGGAACTGGATACGCAGCGGGGCTGTTCAACCCCGAAACACCGTAATCTCGAGCCGATTGGATAGAGAGGGGGACGCTCGGCGTCTAGAGACGGTCTCCCGCACACCTGCGTGGCGAGGGCGCGAGGTCGAGCTGCGGAATCGATTCCAGGACAATGGGGACGCGCCTCGATCCGTCAGGAATTGTCTCTGACGCGTCGATCGTGTCCCGAGGGATTATCCCCCGCGAAGGGCAGACGGCATCGCGGGTCAGGAAGATCGGTAGCCAGGGAAACGATCTCGATTCCTTTCGCCCTCGATGTCCCTCGGCCGACGAGGAATGAACTGGACGCACGGACGCCGGAGGGTTGTTTCCAGAAGAATGCACCTGATTTCCCGCCCCCTCGTATTCCAATCAACAAGTTGCTTGGTATTGCCGCCGCGGTTTCTGGGGATGTAGCTCTGTTTGTCTTCGGGTTTGATTGAGGCCCTTTCTGCTGGATGCTGATTGGAGACGCTCGGACCGGTGCGACGATTCATTTAGTTCGGTGATCTCACGCGTAGGATTACTTGTGCGGTAATTAGTGTGTAATTCGGTGGTAGATTTGATGGTGTTTTATTTGGAGTTGTAGTCGGCTGTATCGCGTTGCGTGAGACGGTTTGTAGTTCGATTTTGCGGTGGTAGAAGTCTGTATTTTGGTTTTAGAGTGAACTTTGGTGCTCGATGGGAGTTTGAAGTGCTGTAAGTTGTATAGCAGTACGATCTTCTGTTTGGTTGAATGTTCCTGCGTTGGCGGGACGTTAAAGTTCGATGGCAGATTGAATTTCGATTACGCTGCGATCTTTCTCTGTTCTTGCTTCGGATACTCGTATTTCGACGTAGCGATACAATGAGTGTTTGAACTTTTGCCACTCACGCGATTCTACGATCTCCTTCTAGTCTTGTTAGTACTTCGACAAAACTAAATTGACATTCATAGTTTAACATAATCCAGAGACAACTCGAACCAAGGCACTCTTGTTCCGAATACGCATGCTTCAACATGAGAAATTAAATTGATACTCGTTCAACGTGACGATCCAACAACTCAAACTCTTGCCACTCTTACACTACCATCTCTCTCCATTCTTGTTCCAAATACTTCAACAAAATTAAATTGACACTCATAGTTCAACATAACGATCAACAATTTGAACCCTTACAACTCACGCAATTCTACAATCTTTCTTCATTCTTGTCCCAAATTCGCATGCTCCAACAAAACGAATCAAGTTGATACTCATGCAACGATCCAATAACAACTCGAATTCTTATCACTCTCACACTACCATCTGCCTGTACTAGTTCTAAATACTTCAACAAAACTAAATCGACACTCATAGTTCAACATAACGATCAACAACTCGAACCCTTACAACTCACGCAATTCTACAATCTTTCTCCATTCTTGTCCCAAATTCGCATGCTCCAACAAAACGAATCAAGTTGATACTCACACAACGTAACGTCCAACAACACCTCAAACTCTTACCACTCTCACACTACCATCTCCCTCTTCTCGTTCCAAAATCGTCCTAAATCGCCACTCACAGTTCAACACAACGATCAACAACTCGACCCCCTACCCGCACTAAACCTCCCTCCGTCTCGAAAAACGGCCACAACAAGAAAGTCCAACGAATGAGATTCCTCCCCCGAACATTCGTGCCTCAAAACAGCGAAGAACTTCCGGAACTATTCCGGCGGATAGCTCCCAGCCGCATCACCGAAAGCGATATCGTACATCAAAAGCGGTTCGCCCGCGGAACAGGCTGTCTCCCGTCCAATCTCCGGGAGGCGAGAGGGTAGGGGGTCGCGAGGATTCTTCCGGGTCGCGAAGTAGAGCGGAATGATTCTAACCGGCGGGAACGGATCCCCGGTAATAAATCCTCGGCGCGGATCGGCCGGAGGGAAACGAGCTGGAAACACGAGCGACCTCGGGGCGACGCTGAAGTTGCCGGTGTTCTTCAAGGTCTAGGGTTCACCTTGAACGCGCGCTCGAGGCCAAGGGGAGCTGCTCTCTCGTCGTCGGGGAGAACTTCCGAGGGTTGTTCCGCTTTAATCGCCGCGCGTCCAACGAAACGCATCCCCCAAGCGTCGTAAGTCGCGACGAACTTCAGGATTCGCGACACTCGCATCGCCGTTGGGAGGAATAACGCTCGACCCTGAGGAAGTCGATCGGGAATGCAATTTTGTGGGGATTGAGTGACACGTAAAACGTGACCCGGTGTATCGAACGATTCGCATCGTTATCGGACGTTACGGGGATCGATGCGGAATACCCTATGAAACTCGGATGCGATAAAAAACGCTTGAGGGTGGAATAGAGGGAAGTCGAGGACTGTTCGGGGTTGTAGTGCGGAAGATCGAGTGACGTAATAGAGGATTGGAGATTGTTCTGAGATCCGTGGAGTGGATGTTGAGTGTTGTTCGGGAATGTGAAGGTTAGGTCGTTGTAAGGGGATGCGGAACTGAGACCTAATTAGTGATGAAGTGATATAGATTCGGTGTTGGGGTGGAATTTCTAATGGAGCTTTGGAATAAATAATCCACGATTCTGAAGAGCGGAAGCGACAGAGGTAGGTGCAGAGGAGATGTGAAAGCAGATTGACGAAAGTGGAATAATAGAACCGAGGGAAATAATTGATGGAGCGAGGATAACGATGCAATCATCGGACACAGTGCCATGCTGCGACACACGCGCGACGAGGACACCTGGCGCCACGTGCATCTGAACGAAACCCTGCTGCAACTGAGGTCCCTGCTGCGCCGCATGACCATGAATCGGCTGGACAATTACACCGACCTGATCCGGACGTTCAACATCACCGACGAGGACATCAAGTACGTGATCGACTACTTCGACAACGACAACCAGACGGCGCAGAAAACTGCCAGCGAGCCGACCGGCTGCTACTGCAACGGCACCGTCAGGAACCTGGCCGTCGGCTACCGGAACTACCACGGCTACGTCGCGCTGATGGTCTGCGTCTTCGGCACCCTGGCTAATATGCTGAACATCGTCGTGCTCACCAGGAAGAATATGGTCACCGCGCCTATCAACAAGATACTGACCGGCCTGGCGACCGCTGACATGCTGGTGATGTTGGAGTACATACCGTTCGCCATTTACAAGTACATCGTGCTGCCCAAGAGACAGGTCTTCCCCTACGGATGGGCCGTCTTCGTGCTCTTCCACATGCACTTCACGCACATACTGCACACCATCAGCATCGCCATCACGCTCACTCTGGCGATTTGGAGGTACATCGCGATTAGGTGAGTGGAGAATAAGGGTTTTTTGGGTGAAGGGGAAGGGGGTTGGATGGCTGATAATCGCTGGCTGCGGGTTTCTGGGTGACGTGTCCTGT